TTGATGTTATTGTTATTATTTTTGAAATTTGTATTGGTGTTTTGTGATTTTGCAGTTGCGTTGTAGCCTGGCACAATGAAAGAAGTAAACATTCACTCACTCACTGCAATTCACCATGTTTAGATCGAGGTTTAGATCATCCCCAAAGAAAATCTGTTCGATAAACAAGACTAACGAGAGATTCAGCTCCATTTTCTGTACCTAAACAAAAAACTATTGTTGAAACGAAAAAACAAATAAGAATAATAAACATAATCCTACACTGCTATAACCAAATCATTTCAGCGGTCAGTTCCTTGGATTATGATTCTTGAATGGTGGGAGGCTAAGACGTCACACTTGGCTGTCAAAGTTGTCAACCAAAAGAATAACCACGGTATTTACCGATAAATAATCATTCCAGGCTGAAAATCGCCTATGGTTGTAGTTGGTCGATATGTTCTACCAGCTAAGGAGAAATATCTAGTGATAAATCATTTAATACATCGAATGAAATTATTACTATGGTTTATTCTAGAATATATTTTATGTATTGTTTCCAGTAAATTATTAATATTTTTTAAACATACCTGAGTCTTTTTCTTGAAATTCCATTGACTGGTCCTTCATCGTATCAACAGTTGATTGATAAATATCGTCTAAATCACTCCCCATATATAGTAATAATTTCATTCGATGTATTAAATGATTTATCACTAGATATTTCCTTAGCTGGTAGAACATATCGACCAACTACAACCATGTTTATCTTCAACGCCCCAATAACTCGCAATATCTAAATCACCAAATCTAATATTTTTGATCTGACTTCATCCAAAGGGTGATTCTCACTGTTTATTCGATAAGTCGCAATTCTACTTTTAAATGCACTATTTATTATTTCAACACTTGCTGATAATAGTGCACAGGGGTGCGATTTTCGAAACCATTCGAGTACATTTCGTACACGAAATTTGACTGCTCTCCATTTAATTTACATTGCTGTCAGTTAACTTTCGTGTACGAAATGTACTCGAATGGTTTCGAAAATCGCACCCCAGGAATTAGTGCGATGTTGTGATGTTCTCTGATGGGCAGCCATATGGTTTGAAGGTACTCTTATATTGCAGGAAACACAAGTTTGAATATTTGAAGATGATGCAGCAACATCCAATGAAGATGAATTTTGCATATGTGAAGATGATACAGCAACATCCGATGAAGATGAATTTTGTATATTTGGAGGTGATGAAGCAACGTCTGATGAAGATGAATTCAGACTCATTTTTTGGCGTTTATTTGCAATAACATTATCATTCGGTCTTCGTTTACACGATTCGCGCTTGTGGCGTTCCACACTATAAATTCGGGTAAATGATGCATTACAATAATCACATAAGGTCCGTTTCACCAGGATTCATACTTGACCTTGAAACTTGAAAAAAAAGGGTTGTCGTAGATTAATTCATATGACACATTCAATTTTTTTGACAAATTAAAATGATTTAAGAACCGACGAACGTTTTTGACGTCATTGATTTGTTTCAGTCAATTTTGATTTGTTAAACAAGGAAGGCAAATGCTGGTGGCAAGTACAAACCCTGGCGAAACAAACTTTATGTACTTATTCATTGCTATACCGTTAATAATATAAATAATGTCAAACTCCCCACAGTACCTTTTCCTCATTCGGAGGGAGAATTTATAGGTATTTCAGCACCATCAACGGAAGTGCATTCTGCGGATGCGGTGCAAGATTAGTGGAAGTACCTACTGCGCACGCTCCCACCCCAATCAGCGGAAATACCTACTGCGCATGCGGTGCAAAATCAGCGGAAGTAACTACTGCGCATGCGGCATAAGGTCAGCGGAAGTAGCTACTGCGCTTGCGGTGCAAAATCAACGGAAGTAGCTACTGCGCATGTGGTGGTGAGATAGAATTAGTATTCTTTCACTACTTTAGATCTTCTTTGCAAGACACTCGCTTTTTAACAGAATTCAGGGATTCAATATTCCAAATCTTGGTGAACCTGATACTGCCTTACAGAGTTGCCAGATCTCACGATTATTCGTAAGATTACACGATTTTGGTCAGAATATCACGATCTCACGAATGAGGTAGCAATTCTTACGAACTCCCTCTGTAGTAATACAAATTACTTATCAAATATACTGTAATCGAGAATAATCGAAACGTGAATGTAATATAGGACTGCTTATCGAGCTGAAAGTGTTTGCCAAAGTCCACGAGATCCCACTATTTGTGACGTCAGCTGTAGACCTCAACTCTTGGAAGAAAATGCATTGTCCGAGTCCAAAAAACGGATTCCTAAACGTGAAATCCCCTTTTCTAAATTTAAAATTCAAGAAAATTTACTCACAAGCACAACCTGAATCGCAAGCAATCCATCGAGGACTGCGAATGAATATCATCAGCTGATAGTGGTGACATCACTCGCAGACCAGCTGCCGCCTTGAGATTGACGAACGTACGCCTTATTAGGATGAGTAATCCTGCGGATAGTGAAAACGAGGTTCAGCTCTCAGAAACACCTGCTAAAAAACGGAAAAAACAAGGATACAAGATTTAATAATAAAATGTCAATGTGCGACTGGTATAGTATTCGAGAAATAATGACATTATGTGAAAGTCAGGTAAATACGAAATAATTCCCTAGGGCGTTATTCTAAAAAATAAGGGCGTTATGACTATTTTTTCAAATAGGAAATAGTTCCTTAGGGCGTTTTGACAAGTTTTTTTGCAGGTACTTGATTTGTTTTACATTAATTCATTCAAAATTTTCTCATATAAAAAATAATTAAGTCGGACATTAAACGTTGAAGGCACCGCGGGTATTAGGGATATTAACACTTTCGGTCAACCTATATCCCTCGGGTCAGAAATACACTATTGACCTCAAGCGTTAATATCCCTATAAAACCCTTGATACCTTAATAACTATTATTTTTTTTTTTTATTAATAGAATAACAACAGTTGTACAATAATACATGTTAACAAAATATAAATATCAAACCAAAGTCTTACAATGCTGTTATTGTCCTTAGACAGCAAAGCTGCTGGTATCAGGACAGAATACTATTAAGAGTGTACAATCAAATAAATAGATAGATACTTATGATTAATTAATTTGATTTTAAAAAAAAAACTATAATATTAATATTAAATTCATTATCCTATACAAAGTTTTTACTTTTTAAATACTTTTTTAAATGGTTCAAATATATCTTAAAGTTAGGACATTGTCTTACATTTAAAGGTATCAAGTTAAAACCCAATATGGCCTGAGTTAAGGGGTTATGCAGTGCTGTGTTTGTTCTAACGTTTTCTAGATTAATATTATTATTGTTTCTGGTATTATAATTGTGAATATCACTATTAAATGTCAGATTGCTATTACATTTTATGTCCCTGGCTAGAATTTTAAAGATTTGTTTACATTGTTCAAGTTCAAAAAATATATCTCACCGGATACAGTGTAGTATTTTCAAAAAGCTCAGTTGTTGGTGTAAAAAAAGACTAATATTTCTTATTGGATGTAAAATAATGTTTACTTTATCAAAAATCTATGAAAGAACATTGCTGTTCTCTATTTTCTTACAATATTGAGCAATTTTTAGTTTCACGATTTCTCACGATTTTTCTTTCTCGATTCTCACGATTTTTTTTTAAATTCATCTAGCAACACTGCTGCCTTATTCTCTTCTGGGTACCTACTCGACATAAAGATCACTATTTAGAGTCTGGATCAGCTGGAGTGACGTCACAGTGAAACCCCAACATCCATTGAAGAGCTCCGGATTGGAAAAGGTACATACAGTATCAGTGTGTCACCAGAACAACCAAACTGCTAACTGTCAAATTTTCAAAAGCAACTTGTTACTTACATTTGCAAATATTTAAATTGTGGAAATAAAATTATTGTTTGTTGGAATTTGAGTGGTTTCATTTGCACATAAAGGGGCTATACGTTATCTTTATTTTTGAATTCCACGACCCTATAGGTTCTCTTGTCTTAAAGTACAAATAACTAAATTTAATTTGTAACATCCTGTCCAATTTTCTCATTTTTGGATCAGTCAGCACGTTAGAATTAAGGTGTCGTCAGTATATATCTTAGGTTCGTTATCTTTTTTCCTCCTATCATTAGTTTTCCTCGCTAACCTTGTGAAACTTTTCTCATTATACAAGGTGTACCATTTAAAACGAACCAAGCTGAATATATCTGATGCGACGTTTATTTTCAAAAAAAATTGCTCGTACACGTATTTTTATTTTCAAAGGAGGAAGTTTTCTGCAACCATTTTTAGCACTTCCACTTAAGCTTTCTATTCGGAATGGAACTAACCCTTACTATTTCAAATGGAACAAGGGGTCGAGTGATACCTGTTTTAAAAGAGCGTTCAATTCTCTTTCATTTAATGTCATTTGTAGGAAAATTGAACGCTCTTTTAAAACCAGGACTCACTCGACCTCTTGTTGCATTTGGAATGGTAAGGGTTGGTCCCACTCTCCTAGAGGGTTAAGTAGGTGCTGAAAATGGTTCAAATATTCACACAATCAGATTTCGTGTACGAGCGATTTAAAAAAATAAAATAAAAGCGACATCAGATATTTGCCTGTTTCGTTTTAAATGGTAGGTATACATGCCTGGCTTGGCCTCACATTTTTACAATATCCATTCCCCCCGATGATCATATTACGACATCTTCAGCTGAACAAATAATTACATTTCTTAGAAATAGCGGAGAAGGATTTTTAGATCAACGTAGGTATCGAAATGACGCGAATTCATGATGGGACCAAAAACTATTTGAACAATCAGGTAGAGAGAACAAGAGATAGTCGAAGTCGAAGAATAAACGGTCATCTCATCCTGGCCATCCTGTAAAGATAAAATCAGCGAAGATTTTTGTTTTGTTTTCAACGATGATGTGTACCAACAATGATGTTGGTACTTTGTGAGAATATTTTTTTTTTTTTAAATATGAGATGACGACATAATTTTAACTTCAATAATTTATTCAACTTTCTTAGATAGTCTATTTTTTCTATAAGCTCTTTTGTAAAACTTATAAAACATGTAGTACAAAAACATAATGTTTGGCATGTAGAAAGCTTCATAAACTAAATAACTTGTATTGATTGAACATTCTGTTAGCAGAGGTGGCAGCAGGTGAATAAGCATCAACGTAAACTGAATCTGAAATATTCCAAAAATATTATTAAGAAAAATATAGGCATTATTAAATACCATTTGAGCGATAGTCAACCAAGGTTTCCATGGGTTAATACATTTCTGCCATTCAGGACCTTTTGAAGCCAAATAATAGTAGGTATACATTAATGCGTGTATAAAGCAATTCATCATTATGTGGATTGATGGCATTGGACCTAAAAAATCTCTTCTCAAATCAACTTGGCTCAATAAAAAATCTTTATGAATTTGCAACAGATTTGGTTACTTACCTCCAATATATTTGCAAGTAGTCCAAGCCACTATCATCGTAGAAACGTGATGGTAAACGTGAAGCGTAGTAACTTGGTTAAATTTTTTCCTAAGCACAAAAAACATCGTTTCAAGCAGTTCTGTTATCTTTAAAAAGTACAGCCATTGCATTGATTGCAACAAAGAAATCGCTTTTGGATCTTTACTGGAATAATCCATCGGCTGGCAACCGAGGGAGTAATCGCCTTGGATCCAACCTGAAGTCAACATCTACAAAATAGGTTTAGTTTTCTGTTAATATAGTTAAATTTTGTATATACTTGCCCAATAAATAATTATACAGCATGCCAGTATTTGTCCAAAATTATATATCTGGATAATTTCAGTTAAGTCAAATGGTTTGCGGTTTTTCATAAATTCTGGCAAAATTTTGTAAACTAGAGCCAAATAAGTCACTACTAGAGCGATATTAGGCCAAAAACTTGACATTAGAAACCAATCTGAGACCCTTTCATCTAAAAAAAAATACCTAGTTTAAAAAAGAAATATTCACAAAATAAAAAATTCAATATAAAATAAAAAGCATTCTTCTAGTAGGTATTTCTGGTATAGAATGTTGATGGTGACTTTGTCTAATTTGGAACTTTTGAGACAGTACTTTTTCGAGAGTTTTTTTTTTATAAACTGAAGCTCCGAGAGCCAGAAGAGGAGAATTTCAGAATTCTGATCCCAGACGACTCTAAATCGATGTTATGTTGACCATAATTTTCTAAAACTTTTGGGAACCCGTCGCTGTGTAAATTTTCTATCTCATAGTGGAAAATGTGGATTAATTTCACGAACAGGTAAAGCTTTTTTACCTTCGTGTGTAATATTTTAATTTATTCTTGAGCGGAAATATTTGACAAAAAAAACGAGAAATTGTCTAAAATGTTCATGACGCTTTTGTTTTGGAATAAATAACCATCAAATATTGAGTGGGTTAAATTAACGAATAAGTGAGTGAAATTGAAGAATGAGTGGGTAAAATTGACGTAAGTGGGTAAAATATACGGTTACTTACCTGCTGCTTCTGCAAAAATGTTGCTTATATTCCCTACCATAGACGCCATTTCTCATTTAAACGATTAATAAGGAAATTTGAATATCACAACCTAATTAATTTTTAGTTTTGTGCCAATTCCTAATATAAAAATTATTAGGTGATACCAAAGAATGTGATACCTACAATCAATAACGTAACATTAAATGTTTCATTAAATAAATTTACTAAGTAATAGAAGCTTTTACTTTAATTTGTTTTCGCGAGAAAATAATAATAATTATTATGTCTCATTAAAATTCACAAAAATTTTATTTGGATTTTTTTTTTTCAAGGATTTAACTACGTTCTTCAATTTCCCGGCTTTGTACTGTGCTAAATTATATAAATAAAGTATCCTTTTATTAAAAAAATTAAATATAAATTAGGTATCACTTTTATAAACCAAAGACTTTGATAAGGGTAGTCCGTTCTTTTAAGTCCGGCTACCCACTATCTTCGACTCCTCCAGGTTAAGATCACCGTTTTGGATCTTGAAAAGTTCGAGGATCTTTCAGGAGCCAAGACTTGGACTCCTGAGCCGGTTTCCCATATTATCTGTCATTCAACGTTTCCCGCTATTTTTTATAAGATTATGGGCGAATTCTTTTATTCATCGATGGATCCATCTGCAGCCAGCATTGTGAGATAGCCATTCCGATTTTCTATGAAATAGACAAAGATATACTAGTCATCGATGGATCATCACTAACATCGAAAATAAAAAAAACAGAGTATCTGTGGCCGAAAAAAAAGAATTTGGAAGAAAATTGGCTAAGAATTTAATTCTGTGGCTCCTAACTTATGTTATGGAAAAATCTGAATGCTGTTAGCGCATGCGCATATCGCGGTTGTGGCACATCTCTACTTAACGATAAGTGGCCATCAAGCTGAGAATTTTAACAGTTAGTTAAGTGATCCTGATTAAAAAAATTAGCGTGGAGGAAAGCAGAATCTAACTTAAAGGTACGATTTGTTAGGGCAGTGTGCGACGCACAACTCACATTCTGTCGAACAACGCGCACGTCTGCTAAAATTAACCGAGTGTAAATTATATTGACCGGTTTGTTGGCTTTGCGCAGGTGAGCGCGACGTACAGCGTCAGAGAACTGGTGTACGTCGTGCCTGAACTCTAACAAACCGTACCTTAAGTCTTTGCCTTAAGGATCATTAACATTAAGTATACTTAACTTTTGCTTGGTGGAAATGGCCATGAGTAAGTTGGTTGGGAAATAAAGTGTATGTTGAAACACTAATTATATATAATAATTTGTCCACAACCGTGCGGTAAGTATCATATTACCACACGCTGCATAAAATAATAAATGTAGGTGCCTACCTACTATGATAGGAAATATTATTGCTATAAAAAATCATTTGTAAAATTATACCTAGAGAAATCTTTGGTATACCATTTGGCTACTCATAAAAATTAATGCAATTATTTTAATGACCTACCTTTATTAGACAAGGAAATATCTATAATTATTTATTTGGTGATATATTTTATACTTATGCAGCAGTTATTAGTGGCTTCCTGTTAGTTGTACGTATCGAAAAATTGAAGGCACATGAAACCTATAACAGGAAAAGTTAAAAGTACAGTCAGTACAGAAGAAATTATCAGAATCAAATTATGTTATTTATACTTATTGGACGTTCAAATTATTAACTTATGTATGAAAAATTGCATTAATTATCTATGAAAATAAATCAATAATATATAATTTATTATTGTTAAAACCATATATTATTTGTTTGTTCGCTTGGCCCTACATTCTAGAAATTCGTTCGTTCAATTGGAGATAAAAATAGAAAAAAAAATAATTATTATTGGTAGCCAATTGAAAATTATAGATAAAAGATTTTGTCCTCAGTTTTATCTTGTAGATTAGATAAAAAGAAGGACACTGGCTATCGTACTGTTATATAAGCACCGGAGTTGACCGATGCCACTTATATTAGAAACCCGGAGTTTTACGCTGGCTCCACTGTAAGTAATCTCGGATTATTTCTAGGTATTGTACCTATTATCCGGTATTTTAATAAAGTAAAACTCATAATTACTTGAAGGTTTAGTTTATTTTAATTCTGAACGAAACTGATTTTACATAAGTGCGACTGTTACAACTCGACTGTTCGCTATTATTAATCTTACAAACAGGGTTGCCAGACGTCCCACCTTAGGAGGGACAGTCCCGCATTTTGTTAATCGGTCCCGCCTTTTTTTTATTAATTTGAGGTCCCGCTTTTCACGTGAATTGTCCCGGTTTTCCCGCTTTTTCCACCCAATCTTCACATTTAGTGCAAAAAACCCGCTCATTTTACAACTTGTTACAGAAATAGCTATTTCTACATTTAAAATCGACGCAAAAATCAAAAAACGAGCCTGAATCGCAAGCATTTCATCGAGGTCTGCGGTTGACGTCACCACTAAACTATTAGCTTCTGGGCCCGGATTCCGAACCCACGATTATATGTATCGTCTATCGTCGGGTACGTACTTTTGCACGAGTGACGATCAAATCAAATCAAATCAAATAATGCTTTATTGTTATGAAACATGAAATGTTGTTAACAAAGCTCTTATAAATGGAATAAAAATAGAATAAAATAAAAAAACAAAGAGAAAAAAATATATATATAAATACAAAAACTATAAACCAAATCAGTAAAATAAAATTAATTGAACATATGACTACAAATTATAAGATAATTATAACATAATTCAAAACTATAAAATGTCTCAATACTATAAGATAGGTAATTAAAAATACTGAAAAGAAAATGAATACAAATTTTGTTGAAATCATTGGTTACAATATAAAAAATAAAACAGGTTATAAAAGCACTTACACAAAGCTTAGATTAACAAAAAGAAATAAAAAGAACAAATGGAGCAACAAAGTGGAATAACAAACAAATTAAAAGTCACAAAAGCAAGTCTTGCTGAATTGTACAAATAAACAGATCAAAATGTCTCGTGGTAAAATTCGTCCACCGAATAATATGCCTTAGATTGGAAAAGCCTTTTCACTGCCACCCTGAATTTTTTTGAACAGTTTAGGCTCTTTAAATTCATAGGCAAGTGATTATACAACTTTAAACCCCCGTACACTATTGACTGTTTGGTGAGCGTGGATCTTGGTATAGGCAGGCGCAATTCATTGCCATGCCGGGTATTGTGAACATTTTCATTTGAAACATCAGCATACTTCCTATGTATTAGGGTAACTGTTTCCAATATGAAAAGACATGCTACAGTCAGTATCCCTTCCCTTCTGAAATGTTCCCTACAATGTTCCCTAAAATTTAAACCACAAAGATACCTGAGTGCTCTCTTCTGAAGTACAAATGCTGACTGCACAAGTTGTTTGTTAGCAAATCCCCAGAATGGAATTCCGTATCTTATATTTGACTCAATTACGGAAAAGTACAATGATCTTGCCATGGAATGATTCACCTGTTTGCTTATCACCCTTATTGCATAACAACCTGCAGACAGCCTTTTATTAAGTGCAGTTATGTGATCAGAAAAATTGAGTCTCGAGTCAATAGTAATTCCCAGAAATTTCGTACATGATTTATTAACAATTGTGTCAGTCTGCATTGCCACATCATCAACACTACACCTAAACGACATTTTATTTGTTTTTTTTATATTAAATGTCAAGCAATTTGTATCACACCACTCTTTCACCTTCATGATATCATTCTGGATTTTATCTTGCAAGATCTGTGGGTCATGTTCAATCCATAAAATAGTGGTGTCATCAGCAAATAAGGTCAACTTTCCATCAATATCCACGTGAGTCAGGTCATTTATGTACAGAAGGAAGAGTAGGGGTCCCAATACTGAACCTTGGGGCACTCCGTGAGGATTAATAAGAGCCACTGAGTTTTTATCCTGACACCTGACAATCTGCTCCCTATTGTTAAGGAATGATTCAAGACAACCAAGCGCCACCCCTCTAAAGCCGTAATGGTAAAGCTTCCCCAGCAGTAGTTCGCGATTAACACAGTCGAATGCTTTCGAGAAATCGCAAAAGACTGCTGCAGCAACATCACCACTATTCAGACCCAGAAAGAGTGACTCCAGAAAATTAAAAATCGCATCACATGTATTCAGTTTAGCTTGGAACCCAAATTGGCAATCATTAAGTATTTAATGTCTCACTGAGTGAAGGCTTTCACGGCCGGAGTCTGAATGATGATGAACTTTTTCCGGGCTTGTGGGCCGTGGTCTATGGGTTTTATCTATCCCTGACGTTTCGTCTGCGGCTGCGGCAGACATCTTCAAAGGCGGTGCGCTAGTGGTCGAAGTGTTCTCTTCGGCGTCTGGCTCACGACTGATGCGCTTGGTGTCGCTCGCGCTGGTGTTGTTACGTCTGGACGGACGGAGGACTGAACGTAGGGGTGTTGTCTCTGGGGCCCCTGTCTTTTTGTTGTGGTATTACGGAGGGCCGGTAACCATGTCTTGCTAAGGTTGACCCCTTCATCCTTTCGATTGAAATTCATGTTGTGTTTTTGAATTTCTGTGGCCTCTCTATACATTCGAGGGTAGTAGTTGACGGTTCGGTCGAGAACTTGGGTTTCTTCAAAGATGATTCGATGGTTGCTATCTGTCAAAGTATGCTCTGCGACTGCCGATTTCTCCGTCTGACCAAGTCTGCAACTTCGTTTGTGTTCAGATAATCTGGTGTTTATGCTCCTTTTTGTCGTTCCAATGTACACGGAGCCACAACTACAAGGAATCCGATAAATTCCCGGTGTTTGTAGTGGATCTCTGCAATCTTTGCTGGATTTTAGGCTGTTGCCGATGGTCTTGGTGGGCTTGTATACTGTTTTTACTTCATGCCTCTCCAGTATTTTCCCGATGCGATCGGTAACTCCTTTTACAAAGGGTAGAAAGGCCCTTCCCCTTTGCTGGCGTTCCACGGTGGCACGGGGCTGGTTGCTCTTAGGCCGTGTGGCTCGCTTGATCTCCTGTTTTGAGTAACCATTGTTCTGAAGGGCTACCGTTAGATGTTTGAGCTCGTCCTGGAGGTATTCGGGCTGGCATATTCTTGTTGCTCGTTCTGTCAAAGTCTTTATGACGCCTCTTTTTTGTCTTGGGTGGTGGTTAGACTCTTTATTTAGGTACCTGTCCGT